TTTAAGATGACTCTTCCTTCTGACATGTTCGTGACGCTCATGAATCGCGTTCGACTACTCCGCCTACTTCACTCACCCTATCGCAGAGGATCGACATATATCATATATAAACAAATCATATTCATATTCACTTATATATATATAAATCTATATATATAATATCATTATATATATAAATATATATAAATATATATTATATATATATATAAATATATATCTCAGGCCGTCCCGCATAGCCGTATACGTAAAATCTAAGAAAGGCCCGTCCATCAGGGGCCGCCACCCCCAGTCCACAAAGTTGGAAAAAAGAAAAAAAAAAAAATTGTACTTATTATTCTAAATACAAAAAATAATCCCACGTTAATTAAATGCGAAGTAAAGCTTATTTAATAGAAATATTATTTGACAGCCAGCCGGACATTAATGGCACAGAACTTGCAATGGAAATGCAGAATTTCCCACCATTGCCATCAAAGAACATGACAAACATGGAACTCTTGACCTTCCTGCATGAGAAGAAGCTGGCAGAAATTTACCCCAACATGTGGGTTGCTCTGAGAATCTTTGCCACTCTTCCTGTTACAGTGGCTGCTGCTGAAAGAAGCTTCTCTAAGCTCAAACTCATTAAAACCTACCTGAGATCTACTATGATGCAAGAACGTCTCAGTGGACTTTCCATCATAAGCATAAATCATGTGGTCTCAAATCAGTTGTCATATGATGATGTTGTAGATGACTTTGCTGCAAGAAAGACTAGGAGAGTAAGGCTGTAGCAGGTGATGTGAGGTTGATGAGGGGGTGGTGTACAGTAATTTGTAAGTCATTCTAGTTAATGCAGTATTAAAAAGCACAACTAGAGAACTCTGTAGGATCCCCTTTTTTGTAATATAGTTGTTAAAGTCATACTGGTTTATTTAATATCTTGTTTTGTGCAGTGCCTTATTTATATTGTATTTTTAATTTATTTTATCCAACTTGTTGACACGTTTTATTGTGTTTATGTATGTAAAATTTATTGTATTTCATATATTCATTTTTTATTTTTTGTATTCATTTATTTATTCATATATTTTTTTATCTTGTTAATTATTCTGATTGTGAATTTGCTTTCTTTAAGTAAAAAAAAAAAGGTCAAAGACAAAGCTATTCGGTTTCTTGTGAGTACATACACTACACTGCCGATGTAGGGGGGCGCCACCTAAAATCTTGCCTAGGGCGCCAGATTGGTTAGGGCCGGGCCTGATATATACATATATATATAGAGAGAGAGAATATATATATATATATAGATATATATATATATATAATATATATATATAGATATATATATATATATATATATATATATATATATATAGATATATATATATAATATAGAGAGAGAGAGAGATATATATATATATATATAGAGAGAGAGATATATATATATATATATATATATATATATATATATATATATATATTATAGATATAACTAATATAGATATATATATAGATATATATATATCATAATAATCTGACAATACTATAATATTGGCCATATTATATTTACATTACCACAGTGAGATGACTTTAGTCTCATGAACAACATTAACTAATTGTTATTTACTAACTAATCTTAAATGACTGTTCAGCACAGAAATGAAGCCCAACAATCATGTTTTACAGTCCCGTGGTCTCAGCCTCAGATACTCAACTAATCAAAGTGATGTCATGACAAAAATGAATGACCAACAAAACATTTTTCTCCTTCATTTCTGTCACACAAAGCTGTATGTAACGTGTCTCGCGGTTAGTATCATGGTTGCTAGGCAACCTGAACAGCACGACGAAGCGTATACCGTCCCATTTTACAAGCCCCTCACTTCCGCACTTCTCGTACTTATAGTACGCACCGTGCGTAGTGCGCGTACTTCAAGCGTGCAGACCCTGAATTGGGACACAGCTATCCGTTCTGCTGTCTCCAAACTGTGGAGTAGAGCTCCTCCCACTGATCCCCCCCCCCCGCCCCCCCGCCACCATAATTCTTCATTCTGTGAACATACCAGTCAGCTACATATTTTAGTATTGCTCCTGCATGGAGCTGTTTTTCTTAGATTTATAGTCTACATATTATTTATTAATGCAGTTTGTAATTCTCTCTTACACAATGTCAGTCTTACTTTAAGTGTGTGTAGAGAGAGAGTGCAGGTTAAGTATCTATCGAGCATCAGTATAGTACAAGACCCTTACAGGCACCCGTGGCACTTTCATATAACTGTGTTGTTCATTTGTTGTTTATTGTAGATTCTACTATTTTTATTATTTTTTTTTTTTTTTACTCATATTTGTTATTAGGGCTGCCACAAACGATTATTTTGATAGTCGACTAATCAGATCATCATCCATTGGACGTAAAACGTACAGCTTATTGCACCAGCAGCATCTGCTCTTATATAACTATCATTAGCTTACAGCTTTAAGTGTTTAAGGTGCTAACTAAAAATAAAGACAAGATGATAGTTTATTAAATTTTAATGAAATTTGCAGATTGTTTCGGTGAAGTTTAATAAACTCCTTGCTATCTAAAATATAACAGGACACCGGAGTATATTCTCGAGCATCTCACACTTCTGATAATCAGTTGTCTGCTTGACGTTTATTCAGCTGTGTAAAAACTATAACTTTAATCTCAGCCAAACCGATTTACTCAGGAACAAATAAAATACTAAAAAAAGCCAAACAATAACATTTTTAAGTTATCTAAGTGACTTATATCATGTTTAACCTGAGTAGCGAAAGACGGCGGTGGGTTTGAAAACGATTTGCCGGGAGTCCGGTGTTCTCACGGCTCTAGTGAGCCTTGCCCCCGGCTAGCTATCGAGCTAGTGGGTAACAGACGTCTCCGAAAACGTCGGAGCGCTTTTGAAAATATGTGGTGTCTTGATAAACTGAGCAGATATTTGAGGTTTACACAGCTACATTCTCGCCTGAAAATATGTTAAACGTTTATTTTGTGACCCAGAAAGAATAATAAGAGTAATATTAAAACTAACTAGCTGCCGCCATTGTTGGAAACTGGAATTGGCTGAGCCGTGCTATGAATTCTGGGATATGTTGGGCCATACGCCTGACCCATCCTTCAAATCTGGGGAAAAGTAGGACGCATTTGTCGGCTGCATTTGCAGAAGTCTTTGAATTTGGAAAGCCTTCACAAATGCGGCCTCCGAAGGATGCGCCCCCTGAATTTGGACACAGCTTCTTCTTCTTCGGGGTTTAACAGCAGCTGGCATCCTTGTACATGCAGTGCTGCCATCTTCTGTTTCAGTCCGTTAGTACACTCTTAAATCCTACTACTTATTCCTGCGTCTTTTGGGATCTTACAAAGCTTTAAATAACGCGTTAAATTAGTCGTCGATGATTTTGATAGTCGACGTAATCGTGGCAGCTGAAGTTGATTAGGATTTGACTTTGGGAGGTGGGATTGGGCTGCTGCACTCAGAGCATGATCTTGAGATAGCTAGATTAAGGACATCTGCTCTGACTGACGTCTCCGAACCAGGAGTAAAACAAGCCCAACCTTCTGAAGTCTAAGCTGCTGGCTCTTATTTGCACACATGCTGACTCCAATGATTTTTGGCCATGTTGAACCTTCTAGCACTGCGAAAGTTTAAAAGCTCTTTGTTCCTGAAGTTTCATACACAACATTTGTTTTTCTTGTTTCGCAGCAGGGTCAGGATGACAGAAAACGACGTAGATAACGAGCTGTTGGACTATGAAGATGATGAGGTGGAGGTCGGAGGGGTTGGAGATGTTGGAGGTGCAAGTGACATGTCGATAAGGAAGGAGGGGGTGAAGGGCTCCTATGTGTCCATTCACTCCTCTGGTTTCAGAGACTTTCTACTGAAACCTGAACTGCTGAGAGCCATAGTGGATTGTGGGTTTGAACATCCGTCTGAGGGTGAGTAACTGGTGCCAGGAGGAAAATTGGGAACTGGTACAACCGCTGCTGATTTTATTCACTTTTTTTATCTTCTCTCTGTATTTGAAGCGTCTGATAAAGATTAATGCCAGTTCCTCCTTTAACAGAGCTGTGGTGGGTTGGTGTGTTGGCAACGGTAATTTTAGTTACATAACACATTTCATTATGCTCAAACTCGATGTGCTGAACACAGAAGATAAAAGCATGAAAATCTGTGTAGGTTTATGTGGTGGGGCGTGGACTGCGGTGCTGTGCGGATGCACCTGCACGGCATCCACAGTCAAGCCCGCCATGTTAAAACATGGGGACTGAGGGTTGTGGTGGTTCGACAAATGTTGAATAAAAATGGCTCAAAACACAGATCTGCGGTCCCGCCGTGCCTTAATTCCACCACACTGGCAGGGTGCATCCGCACGGCACCGCAGGCCACACCCCACCACAGTTTACAATCTAAATCATTGTAAACCTACAGTGAAAACAGCAAAATAGAATAGCCATTCATTGTAAATGTACAACAAATGTATAGGCGCTCCACACCAGCTGTGCTGGAATAAAATGTAAATAGAGAGCAGGAATAAATGGCAAACATAGCCATATGTACAGTCTAGAGGAATATGTACAAAACAAGACTAAGGCACACATTGGAGAACAAAGTGCTTGAAAATGGTGCAAAAAAAAAAACCAAAACCATATGAAGAGATCTCAGCACAGGGTAATGTGCTCAAATTTCCCAGTTCTTGTTAAAATGCGAGCAGCTGCATTTTGCACCATCTGTAGACCTCTAAAACTTTTCTTTGGTAGCCCAGAAAGAAGAGCATTACAATAATCAATACGTGAAGACACAAGTGCATGGAGCTTTCCCTAGCTCCTTACCCTAATCATGACAAATGAATGCCTAACTACATCCTAATTGTAAACCTGACACTAAAACCACATTTTGAGTCTCATTGTAGGTCAGTCAGAATAAAAAGGTTTTAAGCCTGTTTTTGAACGTAGGCATAGATATACAGTGGCTTTCAAAAGTATTGGGCCCCCTTGAACTTTCCCACATTTTGTCCCATTACAGCCACAAACATGAATCAATGTTATTGGACTTCCAAGTCAAAAGTGGTGCACACGTGAGAAGTGGAACAAAATCACACATGATTCCAAACATTTGTTACATATAAATAACTGCAAAGTGGGGTGTGTGTAATTATTCAGCCCCTGAGTCGATACTTTGTAGAACCAGCTTTTGCTGCAGTTGCAGCTGCCAGTCTTTTAGGGTCTGTCTCTACCAGCTTTGCACATCTACAGACTGAAATCTTTGCTCATTCTTCTTTGCAAAACAGCTCCATCAGTCAGATTAGATGGGCAGCGTTTGTGAACAGCAGTTTTCAGATCTTGCCACAGATTCTGGATTGGATTTAGACACCAGACAGGTCAGGGATAAAGTTATTGAGACATTTAAAGCAGGCTTAGGCTACAAAAAGATTTCCCAAGCCTTGATCATCCCACGGAGCACTGTTCAAGCCATCATTCAGAAATGGAAGGAGTATGGCACAACTGTAAACCTACCAAGACAAGGCCGTCCACCTAAACTCACAGGCCGAACAAGGAGAGCTGATCAGAAATGCAGCCAAGAGGCCCATGGTGACTCTGGACGAACTGCAGAGATCTACAGCTCAGGTGGGGGAATCTGTCCACAGGACAACTATTAGTCGTGCACTGCACAAAGTTGGCCTCTATGGAAGAGTGGCAAGAAGAAAGCCATTGTTAACAGAAAACCATAAGAAGTCCTGTTTCCAGTTTGCCACAAGCCATGTGGGGGACACAGCAAACATGTGGAAGAAGCTGCTCTGCTCAGATGAGACCAAAATGCAAAACGCTATGTGTGGAAAACTAACACTGCACATGACTCTGAACACACCATCCCCACTGTCAGATATGGTGGTGGCAGCATCATGCTCTGGGGGGGCTTCTCTTCAGCAGGGACAGGGAAGCTGGTCAGAGTTGATGGGAAGATGGATGGAGCCAAATACAGGGCAGTCTTGGAAGAAAACCTCTTGGAGTCTGCAAAAGACTTGAGACTGGGGCGGAGCTTCACCTTCCAGCAGGACAACAACCCTGAACATAAAGCCAGGGCAACAATGGGATGGTTTAAAACAAAACATATCCATGTGTTAGAACGGCCCAGTCAAAGTCCAGATCTAAATCCAATCCAGAATCTGTGGCAAGATGTGAAAACTGCTGTTCACAAACGCTGCCCATCTAATCTGACTGAGCTGGAGCTGTTTCAAAGAAGAATGGGCAAAGATTTCAGTCTGTAGATGTGCAAAGCTGGTAGAGACAGACCCTAAAAGACTAGCAGCTGGAACTGCAGCAAAAGCTGGTTCTACAAAGTATCGACTCAGGGGCTGAATAATTACACACACCCCACTTTGCAGTTATTTATTTGTAATAAATGTTTGGAATCATGGATGATTTTTGTTCCACTTCTCACGTGTGCACCACTTTGTGTTGGTCTTTCACGTGGAAGTCCAATAACATTGATTCATGTTTGTGGCTGTAATGGGACAAAATGTGGGAAAGTTCAAGGGGGCCCAATACTTTCGCAAACCACTGTAACCTACCTCAGGTCAGCAGGCAGCTTGCTCCAAAGAACAGGACCACAGATGCTGAAAGCACCCGTAGTGTGGGAACAGTTCAGAGATGTGCATGTGATGACCTGAGAGTTCTGACTCTGAAAGACCCTGAGAAAGTATACTGGAGGGCAAACCACAGAGAGCTTTGTGAAATAATTAAAGGATTTTAAAGGTAACTTTGCATTGAACTGGGAGTGAAAGAAATGGCTTGAGTACTGGTTTCTGGTTGCTGCATCCTGAATGAGCTGAAATTCTCCTGCTCATGTGTTCTCCTTCCAGTTCAGCATGAATGCATCCCTCAGGCAATCCTGGGTATGGATGTGCTCTGTCAGGCCAAGTCTGGGATGGGGAAGACAGCAGTGTTTGTTCTTGCCACTCTGCAGCAGCTAGAGCCCATCACCGGTCAGGTGAGGTGTAGCAGCCAGGACAGAGCTAAAAGGTGTTTTATTATATTGTAACAACTGTCATTTAATTGCTTTTCTGCATTTATTTTCATTTTAGATTTTAGATTCTACTTACAGCTGATTTTTAGCTAATGAGGACATTTGTTCTGTACTTGTGGAGCCTTCATGTCTAGATAAACAGGCTCAAAAACAAATCTGAAAGCAAACTCAGGATATTGCGTTGTGTCTTTTGTGTGAAATGCCGACTTTTACCTGACAGTCACAGAGTCAGTTGACTCCATGATGTTGTGATTAGGGCTTTTCACAACTCCTGACTGACCAACTGCTAACATCCAGATGAGAGAAAAATGTTTGAGTCACTCTTAATTATTACCATCCACTTGGCAGAACGCTTGGTAAAGAGTTTTGGGCCGTTTGAGTTTGAACGAAAGACTTGCAGTAGCGTGCAGAGAAAAAAGAACAGCGTACATTCAGATTTACAGATGCATCGTGTTTTCAAGGACCATAGTGCAGTAAATACATCCCATAGTGAATTAAGTTGGTACTATATCTTAATCTTTGCCATTTTTATGTGCAGGTCTCTGTCCTGGTGATGTGCCATACCAGAGAGCTGGCGTTTCAGATCAGCAAGGAATATGAGAGATTTTCAGAGTACATGCCCACTGTTAAGGTAAAGCAGCTTGAACTCATACATCAGTTTCTCCCAGCTCAAACAGTATGATGTATGCTTGTTTTCCTGCAGGTGGCAGTGTTCTTTGGAGGGCTGTCCATAAAGAAGGATGAAGAGGAGCTGAAGAAAAACTCTCCTCATATTGTGGTGGGAACACCAGGCAGAATCCTGGCACTGACGCGCAGCAAGACGCTCAATTTGCGTCACATCAAACATTTCATCCTGGATGAGTGTGACAAGATGCTCGAGCAGCTTGGTAAGTGGCACAACCCACTTTTTAAAGCAAAATCAGATCCAAATATGTGCCAGTGTTTAAAACCAAGAAACAAAGAAGAGGATAAGATAACATTCAAACCAACCTCTGTCTCATTAGCTTTGTGGTTTTTATGTATGGAGTCCACTTTCCTTTCATATTGTGTGAAGGTTTCCTGCCTCCCTTGGGGAGCTTGCAGCAGTAAATATGAGTCTGTGGTTTTCCTGTAATGTGTGATTTTTATAAGGATCATGAGGTATCCATCTTTTCTTTTCCCAGAATAATAAAGTGTTTGACAGCTGACAACTCGAGGCCAAGGTGCTGGTGGTAGAAGTTATTGTACTGCGGGTGTGATTGGTGTGACATTACAGAATAAACAGTAACGTATACATGGCATATATCTAGCTAAATCTAAATGTACACAGTGGATTTCTCTGCTGTGCTTGTGTGACAACAAACAGAATAAAGCGTAAGAAACAAATTTCTCAGTTAAAGATAAATTTGGAGGATTGTGAAAGATCATGGCACCAGCGTCTTCCCACCTTTGTAGAGGCAGAGGGGGCAGCTAAACAAATGCAGCATGACTTTGTTGCTTTTATTTTGATGACAACTGCTACTTTTATTGTCGTAACCCTGCTAGGCGGGCGGCCTGGACACACAAATTTGTGAAGTGATAACTCAAGGACATAGCGACATAGGGGTGTGAAATTGATACCACTAGGGCATCTAATAAAACACTGAGGGCTATCAGTCTTTCCCTAATAAAATTTAATGAGGCGTCTGTTGTAATTTGGAGCACAAACTGGGTGTCATCAGGACGCTACAACACAGAGCGAACACCATCCCCACAGACACAGCAGCCCGGGAGGCAGAAGAACATCAAGAAGGCCCTGAGTAAATGTGGTTATCCCAGCTGGACTTTTGGCTCCTAAAGAAAGCTCCAGCCGATCCAGGAGAGAAGGACGGCCGCTGCCCAAGAGAAAACCTGTAGTGATCCCGTACGTGTCAGGAGTATCACAGCAGTTGAGACACATTTTTTCTAACCACCGGGTCTCTGTGGCTTTTAAACCCCAAAACACGCTGCACCAAAAACTGGTCCACCCCAAGGATCGGGTCCCCGACACAAACAGAGTAACATAGTGTACGCTGTTAAGTGCAGGAGGATTGCCAGGATTTATACATCAGGGAGACTAAACAACCTCTGGCTACAACACAGGAGAGCCACCTCGTCAGGCCAGGACTCTGCAGTCTATGCACACCTACAGGCCAGTGGACACTTTCAATGATGAGGATGTAACATCCTGGACAGGGAGGAACGCTGGTTTGAGGGCGGAGTCAAGGAGGCCATTTACGTGAAAAGGGAAAGACCATCTCTGAATGGAGGAGGGGCCTAAGGGTACATCTGTCACCATCTTACATGCTGTGATTGCAGCCATTCCCCAGCTCTCTGTGAATGGGACTCATGGCCACTGATCAATGGTCTTTGATTAATGGTCATGACCTCCCAGCCCATTGTTCACCCACCAATTGTGTAAATGTGCTGTTTATAAGGTTGGAAACCTGCAGTCAGCTGAGACTGAAGAAGTCACTTGGACGAGTAACGAAACGTTTCTCCCACAAAACGTCCAGGTGAACGGAATCAACCTTTGGGATTTACGTACCTGGATGATTGAGCATGCATCAAAACTCTAACGATAATAATCCACGCCTTTTTTCTCACCATGGTGCATGTGGTGAGGGACATGATCAATAGTGGGTCAACAACATTCTTAACCTCCTAGGACCTGACGTCCACATATGTGGACATCACATTTTGGGTTGTCTAGACCAAAATACAAAATTTTGTTCTACAAGGGCCCGATATCCACTTACGAGGACATTATACTGCCACTGTTCTATCCAAATGTAAAGCAAATGTCCTCATATGTGGATATAATTTATCTCAGAAACAAAAATCAGGTATAAAAAAATTCTGGTAATTCTTTGTTTTTACATCCATCGGGTCCCAATCAGCCCAAATAGCAAAGAAAAATTAAAAATGCATGCCATGAAAGAGTTCAGGTCTTAAGAGGTTAAGGGGCAACTTCCACTAAGGATTAATACCTGGGAATCTCCACCATTTTGTTTTATAACTGAAGAAGCTTCTCGGATGAGACGTGAAACATCTTCAAGAAACTTAAAGAAATCCAGTTGCTTTCAGTTCAGTTTTATATATACAGTACGAGATGACAACAACAGTCGCCTCAAGGTGCTTTATATTGTAAGGTAGACCCTACAATAATAAATACAGAGAAAAACCCAACAATCATATGACTCCCTATGAGCAAGCACTTTGGCGACAGTGGGAAGGAAAAACTCCCTTTTAACAGGAAGAAACCTCCGACAGCTGTGATTGGTTGGGGTGAGAGAACGAAGACAGGATAAAGACATGCTGTGGAAGAGAGACAGAGTTTAATAACAAGGATGATTCAGTGCAGAGAGGTCTGTTAACACATAGTGAGTGAAGAAGAAACACCCAGTGCATCATGGGAATCCCCCAGCAGCCTACACCTATTGCAGCGTAACTAAGGGAGGATTCAGGGTCACCTGGTCCAGCCCTAACTAGAGCAGGGCGATATGGCCGAAAATATTTATCACGATATATATTTGAAAATTTGTGATAACGATATAACTGACGATATAGTTAAGGCGAGACAAAATACAACTCCACAACTTTACTAGTGCAAAAAAAACATCCATTTATTTTCACTTAAACAAGCAGCTGTTTTTTATGTGCATTAAAGCTATATAAAAATTTAACAGTGCAAATGCAAATTTGCTGACATATCCTGAGCATAACCATGTATAATATCCACTGAAGTTAAAAAGAGGTGCTTTGCTGCATTAAACTGCAGTGTGCCAAATAAAAAAAGTCTAATATGTATTTTTCGGACCATAAGGTGCACGAGATTATAAGACACATTAAGCAAAACAAAGCAGTCTAACTTTATTAAACTCATTCTTCTTGCTTCCTCCACTTCTGTACCATTGATTCATTAATGTTGAATTCTCTGGCAGCTGCTCTATTCCCATGTAGTTGCAGTATATTAATGACTACCCTCGTATTGTGGATGGATTATCTCAGTTGTTCTCCTGACTGAAGTTTGGTCCATTTACAGCATCCTGCCATGCGATTACATTTGTTCCTGACCATCAGGAACCTTCACGTTAACTTTTATTGAGTGGGAAAAAGTTAGCGTTCATCCTGCAGCTTCACTGTGTTTGTTATGCTAACATAGCTGTGTCACTAGCTATCATGTAGCACATCATTATATACCAGCTAGCTAGGGTTGCCAACCGTCCCTTAAAATACGGAATCGTC